ACACTGATGTATTGCTTAAAAGTGGCAGCAGATGGATGGTAGGTGGGAAACGGGACCCAAATCTCAAAACAGGGCTGCAGAAAATTAYAGGCAATTGAAGTCTTCTAGTTGGTCCCACACAGGGGATTCTACTGCCAGTCTGTGAGGATGATTAAGGAGGAGTTAAGTGGCATTCACAGAGAAGTGATCAAGCTGATACAGTATGCYTGGAGTTTCAAACAGCATTAGAAATCAAGCTTCCAAGACATAAAAGGAGAAGTCCTCTTGTTAACTAGTGTCAAGTTAAGTGAGAGGAAGCAGGAGATAAAGCATGCGGTCAATTCTCACATTGGTGAGCTAAGATCCCTGAGGCACATACACTGGAACTCAATCACAATTTGCAGAGAAGGCCAATACCTTTGTATAGGTGACAAACTTCATTCTCCTACCATCCAAGACTGCTAAATGAGGGATCTTTTTTAATTTATTTATTTATTTATTTATTTTTTTGTGTTCATGGAATTTAAATATTCTCTCTGAAGAGACACCATTGCAAGAGAGGGAGAGACAGATAGAATAGCTACAGCTAAATTCTGCAGAATATCTCAGCACTTTATGAAGTCAGCAATCCTTTGTGGTCAGCCTGGCAAAGGCAGCTCTACATGTGTGGCATCTGCATCATTATTTCATGTCTGCTGCTCATTAGGAAGACATCACCACTATCACTGAGGGATGGTGGTTTACACTGAGCAGTGGTTAGGTCTGTCTGAAGTCAGAAAGGAAGATCATCAAGAAAGGTTTAACAGTTGTACTGTAACTCCTACTTTATATGCAGATACAAACTAATTAAGTAYGTCATTACTTTTTCCCCACTTTTTWAATTAACTTCTAATTTACAGTTGGCAGAGAGTAACAAATGAAACTCTAATGCTTATCATCATAAAAATAATTTGTTTTTTTCTTTGTTTAAATTTTTTGGTTTCGGAATTTTTGGAGTTCATTTGTTTGTTTGCTTTGGTTTTGTTATTCCTTCACTTTGAGCAGAATAAGTTAGCATTCCTCCAAACAGGTTATACTGCAATGGTAAAAAAAGTACAAATCTGTTATATTTCTATTTCATGCCATGGAGAAGAATGGCAACATGAGCATATTATGCAGGAAGAACAGCTGCTGCATCCAAAATATTTTAGCTTCCATTCAAAACCAAAAAAGTTTTAAAGGAAACTGGGAACTTACCAGCTGAATCTGAAACTCATGTGCTCCTTATTCACTTCAGAGTGTTTTGGATTCACTTTTTTGCTACTCATACTAACAGCAAATTAAAAGCTCCTTCTATTTCTGCCTATGCAATGTATTCCCTGACTGTGGAACCAWCTAAAACAGTGCACTTATGGCTTAGATTTAGCAGTGCCTGTGAGAACCAGTTATGACTAAATCAGATGACCTGGAGAACACACAAGCCTGACTGGACTTAGAGCAGGGCCATGTATTTAACCATGAATTTCATCACCAGTGTCACAGCTATTCCCAGTAGTGAAAATTAAAGTGCTCAGAAGTAATGTTTGTAATCACCAGGAATTCCAAGAAAGATCTTGGTTGCTTGTTAGAGGATTCAGTGTTGTCCTCCTYCAAAAGTTAACAAATTATCTCCTTATATGACTACATTTGGAAGTATAAATATCTGGGTCTGCAGAACAGGGGATCTTGCTGCATGCAAGACCCCCCCAGACCCCATCAAACTAGCAAGTACAGCCAGGCAGCTGTAAAACAAATTTCTCCCTTACATTACGTTTTTTTGTTTAAAAACCAAAAAATTACTTAGATGAGGAATCACATATCTAGTAATTAATCCAGGTTTAATTTCAATAAAATGATCAAGAAAGTTTAAGAAAAAATCTGTCCTAGTCCTATGGGATAAATCTTATCATATTACAGTTTTCTAAAGATACTTTCATACAAATAAATTTCAATACGAGCAGTGCTTTTAAGGAGACAGACTTATTTTTAATAATCCTTCAGAGCAACTAATTCATGGAAAAAATACCAAGGAAAGCATTCACATGCAATGTTACTAAAAGAAACCAAAAAACAACCAACAAARAAAWGAGCAGCMCTTAAACAGTTACTAACCTTAAAATCAAGTTATCTGGTTTTTGTAGCTGTTTTACAAATGAAATTGATATTTGACTGAAACTCCTTCTACCTTGGGTTTAGACAGTTACCACAGTGGAAAAAAAAAGCATATGACATTTCTAGTTAAGATATTTCATATTGATTCTAGCAAAGTAGAAATTGCAGCAAGTTTAATAGAAAGTGTCTCATAGCTCTATTTGCAAGTAAGCAGCACATATAGTTATCAAGAGGTAAAGTATTCAATTTGTTCATTTTAGAATGATTCACATTGCTGACTTTATCTAAATGAGCTATTATGTGAGCAGGATGTTTTAGGAACTACTCAGTATGATAGGATATTCTTTAATCATGATTARTTAGACTTACAAATGATTATGGAACATACAATGTGTTGCAGCTTTGGATCATTACCCATGGAAATGTAATTCCGAAGTACAAACAATAATTATTTCCATCACTCYTTCTACCGAAACATAGCTTTCTTTAATTAGAATATTGATAAGTAAGCACAGCAAATATAAGATTTTTTTAATAGTTAATCTGATAAAGAATTAATTGAGCTTTTAACTGAGGAAGTTTAATCCTTCAAGCAGTGTGCACACAGATTGTGCCACCTGCTTAGGAACACCCACTCATATAATGTACTAACAGATTATTAAACATATATTTTCTGTGGTGGCAGCCAGCCTCTGGGGCCCTCAGGCCTTTCCACACCTCTCAGGAGCAGCAGGGTAGGACAGATCCACATAATATAGAAAACCTCACCATGCTGCATCCTGTTTTTTTCYATAAAAGAGGTTGGCTATTGCTTCAGCACCTTGGATTTAGGAGACAAATCTTGAAGTTTCTCCAAACCTGACTMAGGCAGCGCATGCTGAATTGCACTCTCTAAGCCACTAGGACATCTGCCTGGGGACATCATTCTGTCGTGGGCAGCAGAGTCTAACAGAGAGTGTGAGAACCAGTGGCAAGCATGGACTGGTTGCCCTTCTTGTTCTTCCTGGCCTGCAAGAGTTTGGCACCCTCCTTAATCAGACCCCTCAGGTCTGTGTGGAAGAGCCCATTTTACTTTCATTACTGAGTCCACCAATTTTGGAATGGGCACTAGCATCCATTATCACCAATATTCCACTGCAAAGAGTTCCACTTAATTATCTGTCGTGTGAAACACTTTCTTTGGCTTCAGATGTCTCCTCATTTCACTTGTGCAAGAGTTTTGCTGGAACACAAGTGCTGCTATCAATCTAGCTCAAGAGGTGGAGATAAAACTGCCTCTCTGAGAATGAAGGAATGGCTGAGAAGCAACGACTAGGTGTTATTTAGGAGAAACTATACACACTGATTGAAAGTGAGACTGCACATTAACAGGCACAGGATATAAACCATCAACATACATATGAAATCACCAGCACTGATGACAAATGGTTCAGGCATTTCTTGGCAGACAAATTGCCACTTGATGTAAGGCCCATGAGCATTTATCTACCAGCTCGTTGTCTGCCAAGAAATACCCTCTGCTTCTGTCAGAACTGGTTAATAAAGGTGTGCCAATAGGTTGAGCTGGAAAAGTCCACACCTGCTTGCCAAGCAGATCTCCAGTGAGAAGACATGAAACGTAAGTAAAACATTTATAAAAATATTTTCTAAAAAATATTTAGCAAAGATCCAGAAACCACCTCCTGAGCAGTTCTCAGTTTTCTTCATTACTGTTGTGTCTAACTGCATTTTTCATCCCCCAAAAGTAAAAAACAGTTAAAATACTAAAACCTGTGTATTTTAAGACATGAATGTCTTTTCAATACCATCTACAGTCAGCACAAGACCATGGGAAATAAACAGGTAAGTACAGTTAAGACATAAAAGGGTCAGAGGAACATTGTCTCCTTATGACTGCTCTGTCAGGTTCATGACCCAATAGTACCTGCTAGGACAACTTTAACACAATGATAAATTTAAACAAAAAACATCATTCCCACCCATAGAATGTCAGTAATTTGAATTGACAGATTCAAAACAGAGCCCTACCTAGTATTTGGAAAATTGACTTATGCAAAAAATTAACTTCCTTGGGTTTGTGGAGTTTCCCCCAATAATYGCTTTGGATTTAAGGAACGATAAATTCAACTTACGGTTAAAGAGTATTAACTTGTGTAATCCTGCAATAAAATACTACTATAATCCAGAGACAGAAACAAGAATTTAAACTGGTAAGATTAAGGACTTTCCAAGTGCCAAACCAAAACTTGGAAAGTCAGAAGTATGTGACACTTAAAATGGTACCTGTGAGTCTTTTGGCCTTCTCCAAAAATATTGCAGAAGTAATTGCATTTAGACAAAGCTCTAGGATGAAATTGTACCTTCATTCTCTCCAGAAACCATGACAGGCAATAAAGATTAATGGTTTCTTAATGCTTTAAAGACATTCACATATATAGGTTTACAGTCACCTTTTCATTGTTAACATGCCTTTTCCATGAGAGTTAGAGCTTCAGGTAGGCAAACAGAAGTAAGAGTTTAAACAAGTTCAAGGACATACCTGTAACCTATTTGGGAAGCAGGAAGCTGATGCAACAAGCCTACCATAAAGTAGGAGCTCTATAATTACAYACTCTAGCATGAAGCCCAGTCAGATTGAATGAGTGTGGTTCCAAATCAGGAARAACCCCAAATATCATATAACACTTACATGAAATAATAGCTTTAGTACTTACATAATGCAACAGTAATAGAAGCAAGAGACCCATTCAACTGGCCTCTGTGATAAAAGCCATTTTCAGAGTTTTAAACAAGTTTAATTCAGATAAAGAAAATCATTAAACTTAAATTGTTGACTTATCTAGATGATTATATGTCAGATTAAACCGTATCTCAATATSGAAATATCTTACTTCTTCTCCTGAAAGATAGTAAGCTGAAAGGAGTCCACCGACGAAACGAATGTTCACTTCAAATACAGAAATTTCAGCATTCTGTTGAAATAAACACAGATTTATTTCAATAGAGGTTTGTTTATATATATACATATATATATATATATTGTTTATATATAATAAAAAAAAATATTATATTATATTTACACACACACATACATATTTACAGGTATTAAGGTGTGACAGCTGTAAATAGCAAAACACARAAGATGTAGGGAAGGCCAACATAAGAATTTAAAGCATTTCTTTCTCTTCCTCACGTAAACAAAATATCCTCTCCATTATCCTCATCCTGCTCAACATTTCATCTCTTCTGTTTGGATAGAAAGCTTTCTCTAAATCCACATGTCCAAGTACTTCCTTGCAGGTGATTCAACGCTCTTGGATCATGTCCCACCCTACCTCCCCTCACACCATCTCAGACAGATCAGAATTGATCAGAAAGTCCTATCAGGTGTTTTCCTGCTTCAGTCTAAATGCAGCTTATTATAAAAAAGAACCTAAYGTTAGAATGAGTTAATTACATGCTCATGATAAAAATGTAATCATTATGTGTATTCACAAGGAAGCAGATGATCTTTCACTATTGCAGAGACAGCCCTTCCCAAGTTGGCATGRTCTTTACCAGTGATAAAGACTAGGTCCAGCCAGTATCTGTCTCAAAATTCAAAGCACATTCTTCCCCGCCTTTTGAAATTCAAACATAAATGAGAAATCTGAATCTCATGATCACTACATGCTTTTGTTCTTTATTAAATCAATACCAATTTTACCCCAACACATAACAGTCAATCCACTCGAGGCATTCAGTCAAAAAGCTGATCTAGTGAAGTTTCTTAATTTTTGCTTTTTTATGTAATGATACTTTTTATATTTTTGTATTTCTGCAGAAAAATGTTACCCAGAGGTCAATCTTTTAAAATTTTGGGCACATAARTAAGGAGTTTGATTTTCACATGTTCTGGGTTGCTCTTTCTTCTACTGAGTCATTTTTCCATTTTCTATTTGCCGACACACTACAGCTATATTTAATATAGATCAATGCATGGTGGAGCTGAGGGATTTTCTTCTGAAAGGCTTGCAGGCTTTTTTCATTCAGATAGGTTTTGTGCTTTTCCAGTTTCAACATTCAGATCTCAGTTTATGTAGGAGGGAAGAAGTTGCTCCATGTTTTCTATGGACTTTAAATGGTAGTAAACTGCCTTTAGAGAAAAAACAAACAAAAAAACAGMACTAGCCTACTTACTAGAARTATTACTTCATGCTTTTCAGTTTGCAAGGTGCTCTGATTGAGAAAAGGTATCTAGACATACTGCAGAGTTGGTGAGGTTTTTTTGTAAATTGTAAAGGTAGAAGCTGCAAAACACACTCTCAGATTTGCTACAATGCAAGTTGGTTTACATTCAGGAATTTAACATTTCTTCTCTAAAATCTGCTCTGCACCTCCCCCTCTGAAAAGTGAGGAATGTAATTTCACTTGGAATTACTCTGATTAATACATAATTCATATAGTATACATGGGTGTTCCTGTATAGTTTTTTAATACATATGAGCACAATTCAAAGTGGCCAACAAAATAAAGCCATTACACACATGTGCCTCTTGAAAACTCAGACTCGCATCATGTGTTATGACTGCAAAGTTATCTTGCAGTGTTCGGAAAATAACACTTTTTCAAGTTTATTTTGAGTATTCTAGAAATCTCCAATACTGGTCCTCTCTCATTCTTTCTAAAAGAAATTACAAAATTTRATTTCTGCAGCTTATTTTTTCTTTCCAAAATTTCTGTTGTTTCAAAATCTGGTGTTTCCCTTTCCAAGTGTTCAGTCATTGTCTCACTGAATGCAGYAATAAGGCAAATGGAAACAAATATTCACCTCAAGTTTAACATTTCTGTGTGGGCTTTTTTATTATGCCATGATTCACATTAAATCTGGGGAGGTGGATATAAAAACATTTAAATACTCTAGAAATCTGAACGAACTAGATGATGTATCTGTTCAYCAGCTAAGCAGGTTACCTGTGTAGGAACTGTACAGTGTATCTACATTAAATACAGAAGTCCACCTTAAAGTCCAACATATAAAAAAGCTAGTAGAGAACTGATTTGACTTAAGTAAGACTGATCTGACCTGATCTGATTGAAGAAAGTATGATTAAATGAGTGAAAGGGGTGTYTTCTCTTCCCTGGAGATTGAGCTARCTGAAACCCCTATGAATAGCATGAGAACATGAATATGTGAACCTTTTTCAGAAGTTCAGGTTCTTTCCATTTCAGTCCTGAGCCTCAGCATGTCAAGTACTTTTCTTTCATGTGGGAAGGCTGAAGCTGCAAAGAGGTAGGTGTCAGATGAGGAAATGAGTTAATCAGATATCCCAGACACTTGTGTTTCCTTTGAGAACTGAATTAAATTACTTTTTGATTTTCAATTGCTTGAAGTAAATTGAGTGGTGTATGACCTGAATATTTTGTCTTCAGAATCTTGCATTTTGCCTTTCTGGATTTAATATGACCACTAAACTCACAAAACCATTGCARTCTTACAAGGAGTGCAAAGACCCCTTAAGGAAGGCTCAGTATGYGTGCACTGACATCTTCTTCTGGAAATTAGACAAGAAGACTACTTGGAAGTAATGTGAATAAAGGTTTTACTGTTGAGCTACAAAGATTAATTGCACTGTAATGCAATTGAATGTGTGTTGAAGGGGTAATCTTTCAGGACATTTCTTCTAGGCAACCATTTTTCTAAAGTTATCACATTCCCARTAGGTCCCTTGAACCTCTGAACCTTCATTTGAAATCCTTGCCTCTTAYCAAAATCTTTTTGCAAGCCACTGAAGCAGACAAACAGTGAGACAGACGTGTCATTAATGGCAGATTTGAAAGCTGTATGCCTAATACACAGTTACTCAGTTAACTCATTGTAGCAGGTTAGTAACATTCTCAGCACAGAAATTACAGCAATTTGCAAAACAGTTAAAGTTTTATATTTCATGCCAAAGAAACATCTCTACATGGAAAGTTTGTGTGAAGAAGTAGTCTGATAAGRAAAATGAYCTTGCCCTAAAAGTAGATTTCTGCYACACCAACTTYACCCTTCTTTGTGGTTTGATTTTCAAGGTTTTTGTAAGACACATTAAAGATGCCACACCCTGATCATTACCCTCTTTTCATATTTTTATAATCTACATACAGTTTGCACAAATTTCATGATCGTTACATTAGTTCTCCAATTAGACTGCATGGCRGCCATGTGCTCTGTATGAGCACATTTGTAAGTCCACATCTGTGCTACCATCACATTGTTTCTATGCAATATCAGCTTGATACATACTTGGAAATAACATTTTTATTTTACTTCTAGGGTCCTCATGTTAATTGATGATACAAGTAATTGGGTCTCTCATCTTAAATTTATTCWGTAATGTATCATTCACTATTTGAACCATAAATGGAAAAGTCTAAATACTACACAAGATCCAGAGAAGTTGCGACTTCTGCTCACCGTACTTGAGAAAAAAATACAAAACAAAAAACAACATATGAAACCAATATTTGGTGCAAGAACAAAACTGTGACAACTTCCTGGAATTTCCTCTGGTTTCCTTGATGAGCTTCTAAAGATGAAATTATTTTGACAAAGAGATATAATATCCTTGACATTGYTGGCCAGACAATTAACACCAAAGTCATGTTAAAACAAGGGGAGAGGATTTTAAGCAAAAGAAGAACCATAGCTCAGAAACACTCAAGACACTGGAGAACATTACAGCTGTAACTAGTAAACCTATTATACTAATTCCTTTTAAAGAAAGAGAGACTGGCAATGGCTTAGGAAGTCCCATCTTCAAAAGCTATCAAACATAACCAAATGGGTGGTGAGTTACCTTGTGTTAATCAGAATTTCTATTTTATTTGCAAACCTATGACCGGGCCAATCTGACCTCAGCTGCATCTCCCCATTCAACTTCCCTCACCTTTCCATAAACCAGAGGATTATGACTWCAACTGGTAAACTACTGAGGCTTCAAACAGTTCCTATTGAAATTAATATTGAAAGCACTGTTCAGACAACAAACTACAGTCAGCTGGGCTCTCCTGAAGGCCTGTGCCTATTGAACCCCTCCAGCTTCCCAAAAATCAGTATTAACATCCTTCTGGAACACTTCCTTAATGCATCTCATTCCTCGTAATCCTCCTCTCCACAATTCACAGACCAAGGCCAAAACAATTTCYGTCTCTATTTTCTCATTGGAAGTCACCCTCACTTATGAACACAACATTTGAAACACAACCTAATTTTATTTATCCAGTGTTAGGTTCCACCTGGCACTTACCCGCAGTACCGGGTACATGTTCTGTCATTCAAAATTCAACTGGAGAAAATACTCTATGCTCTTCACACAGATGAATGCATTGCCAATAATCAAGCCACTTTAACTTACATTTGATTATTTGATAAAGACCTTACTTTCTTAATTTTTATAAAGATAATAAAAATAATGCCACAGATCCTACCAAATAATATGTTTCAGTCTCCTCTATGGCCCACATTCTTTCCAAAACTTTCCTTCTTTTGGTTCTCCTGTTCTTGTACCATCAAGAATGTACAGAACTTCAGTCACCTCATCTGCATTTCCACCTATTGCTCCAATGTATAGGGAATATAGCGACTTCCCCCACGCACAAATGGCAAGCAGCCCATATCCTGCAGTTTAACAGGCTGTGCAAGAGAACACCAGGGACCCTATACTGAACAATGCTGAATAATGTATATAATTCTAGACTAAAAACTGGACACAAAGGGCCCACATTTCCAGTGAACTGAGAAGAACTTGTAATTATTATTACTATAAAATAATAMTATTCCCCTGTTGAAGCACAAAKGTTGGGAACAGCAACAAATCCTAGCATTTTTAAGCAGCCCAGGAAGTATGGTACAACCACAGACAGTACAACAATAGCTCACTTTCAACTATTGCAATTAAAAATATTTTAATTATTTGCAATTATGAGGAAAAAAGTTTCATTCACATTCCCCAAATGAAACTTACTGACAGCTTGCTAAAATATTCAGCTCCCAAAGACACGGGAAACAATCTTAGCAACCTTTTTAACACAAGTGTCAAAGCCTGGTTATTGCATAACATGTTATTTAACCTTGCTGAAGTCCCTGCATGGTGAGCTGCAAGATCTTCAACAGACAAAAAAATAAAGTGCTACTGAAGTCATTAATGAACTCTAGCAGCAAAAGAACTGCGTTTAGTAATGGATTTGCAGGATCTCCTTTTAGCCCATCAAAATGGGTTCTTACACATAATCAAAACAAAATCAAGTCACTTTGAAGTCTGGCATTTAKAGTGTACTAATAAGCTATGTGGCAAACTAGTAATCAAATAGTCCCACAAACGAGAGAACCATTTTCCACTTCTGCCTTTCTTATCATCTCCCTCAGACCCATTATACATTTACTCACACCTCCCACACAACTTTTTTTTTTTTAAATGGGAAAGTTACTCGGTTCCAATTTGTTTTGTTAGGAAACTTTCTGATTTTCTCACTTGAAGAGGAAAAAACAYGAAGAATAAAGAGCCAAAAAACTATAATGTTCCAAGTCAGAACATTAGGCTGGGGACTGTTAAATACAACTAAAAGTCAATCACAATTCCTACAGTTTGAGAATAGAAGAATTTAGATTTTCAGATGCTGAAGTTTGAAATAAGCAAACTGAAAACAGAAAGTCTGTCCTGTTACTGACTGCCATACCTTACAWACAGTTGAGCCAATGWYAAATGCTGGAAGCCTTATAGATGTAAATAATATTTGCTRTTCTGGGATCTTGGAAAGGGGATATGTTAGTCTATACATGACAGAAGAGAAGAAACATAACTTCAAGTTTCTTTAACTTTTCCAGCTCTTTTCCCATTCCCAAATAGTAGACATATCACTCACGAACCTTCTATGTTGCATGAGGGTGCTGACAAAACATCTTAAAAAGATACTCAGATTTTCTGAGCTAAGAGATTAAAATCAGAACTAGTAAGTCAGCCTTCAGGCTTCAAAAGTGGCTTATAAAATCAGACACAGTGACTGACTGACTGACCTCTGAAAATAGCTCTGCTTGAGAGCATTGATAAGACACAAGACTGAGGGTACCCTCACCTTCTTACTCATTCTTTTTATGCAGTTCCCCAATTCATTAGAACCTTTCTTTGAGAGCAAATAATGAAATGCTCTTCATTCTTTCCTCATTTCCCAACAAGTGCATGGCTTTCTGCCCCCTGTCTTGTTCCCATGCTGATCCTGTCTGGCTACACTTACATCAGACAGCTGATCAGTGGGTCAGGGCATGAAGTCAAGCCCTGCCTCCTGTACAATTTGATTGCTCGCATCTTCTGGTCTTGGTGTGTGCCCCTGTTGTTCCAGTCAATGTCCAGACATGCTTTAGGACACCAAGGACTGCTCCCAGCAGGCAGTACAGGCAAGACTGCCCTTTTGCAGGGAAGGAGTTTAGCAGTGCTGAAGAAAAGAGGATGGATCACTCAGTCACTCATCCTAAAAATATTGAGGGGTGTGTGGGTGTGGAAGCAAAGCACCATTAATTCCAATGCTTAACAACTCCCAAACCTTCACTGCTGTGCCATGGGCTCAGCTCCTGCACCACACTACTGCCTTACACCTGACCCTTTCATTTGCCTTTTCCTCTCTCTCTTCCCAAGCATGCATTCAGTATGATTTGGCTCTTGCACTGCAGAGACCRACAGCCTTTTCCTCCCCAGTGTGACCCAGAAGTGGGGTGGTGGTACAGCAGATCTTTGAGAAAGCTCTGTGTGTGTGTGTGCAGCTTCCAAAACTAACAATAAAAAATAAGAGCAGAGGGGCAGGCAGCAGCATGTAGTTGTASCTAGGAAACAGCCAAGCTCCCTAAAGATCCCACAGAAGACTGGTTCCCTTTTCCTCCCTTGTAACCTGCTGAGACACAGTCCAGCCTTGGGGTGTGCACTGGAAAGTGGTGTGTGGGCAACAGTGCCTGTGGGGAGGTCAGAGGAAAGCCTTGGTTATATTAATGACAAGAGCAAAGATAAATCCCCCAGAGAGATGAAGTGACTTAGCAGAGAACAGAGCACATATCCACCGTGAAAAGACCGTGGATTTAGCCACTGCAAATGCCAACTCTTTCCAAAGTTATAAGTACATCTATATCTTAGAATGTTGACAGAATCAGAAAATACAACTTAATTCCTGAGGGAATGTCTCAGTTTAGCTGAAACTTCAGCAAGGTTTCAAATACAAAAAACGTCAGCAGTTTTGACATAAAAAAGCTCCAAGCATTGCAACATGGATTTCTCAGTTATAAAATCTTAAGGCTACCAGCTACAGCTRTAATGAAATTAGCCCAAGTGTGTTATACTCCAAAAGGGGAAGCTTCTAAACACATCCACTCACAAGCTTACTAAAATGCACAGGTTTGCCAAGAAAGGTGCTGCTGACTTAACTAGAATTTTCCTTCAAAATCAAAACCTATCTTTGGAAAGGTAGAGAAGAGCAACCCTGACATCTAATTCATTGAATCGTGGGACTGAAATCTAGCGCATAAAGAGATGTTGCCATTTCCCATTAGGTCATCTTTATTCCAGAAATCCTTTCATGTGGATAAACTAGAGCCTACTTTACAAAGTGACATCAGGAAGCTTTTATGATCAGATGTTGAGAATGGTTTGAGTGCTGGCCAAGTAGTTTGATGAGTATYTTTTAGAGTTCGTAAATTTTTCCTATATTCAGCTGCATTGACATAGAACATAAAGAGAAAAAATTCTGCCACAGAATAGAGCCACAGCTGTTTTTGTAAAGAACATCTTAAATAAAATTAAAGATTTGAAAGGCATGGTTCTAAGAATAAATGGAGAGAACAACTAATACCATTTATGCAAATAAAGATCAAATATGCTGATTAAGCAGTCGCTGCCCAGGCAATGACCACAAACATCAAACACAAGTTTCTACTGCTCACAAAGGATAACTCTTAAGGATATGCCAGTGTGCCAGTTATTCCAAACAAATCACTTTCATGGGACAAAGGTTTCTAAAACAGGAGCAAGTAATAGTATACCTAACATTATTGCASAAAATGTCAAGTAAGGCCCGACATATAATAAACACTTAAACACAAAAGAGAACTGCTGTTCTTTACACTGTAAGATACAAATACAAACCAGCATTTGAATCTAAACCCTCTACTTGAAGTGGAAAACTAAACAAAAGTGCAAGCTGAGTAGCTTCCAGCAATCCAGCCATTAAACAAATGGACATCCATTATTAAATTTAGTGTTGCAGTTATTTATTTTAATTTTCTTGTTCCAGTTTGGGAAAATTCATCTTCCTGCTGCTGATGTCAATGTAAAATTCAATTACATATGATTATGAAGTATTATGAAAATCATATTGTGAGGTGTCGAACTCCAGGCTGCTATTTACAGGAATATCAGTAACAATACACTATTACTGACGCACATCAGTAATTTGTAAAGYAGCTTTAGTAAATCTGCTCGACTGCTGCACTGACCAACTAATGGAATATGAAATTTCAGATGTTTTCTTAGCTTATAAGCTTTACTGAGAAAAAAAAGTGCATTAAAAGGAGGAAATGTAGGCAATACTGTGTATAATAGTATATATACTTTCCAATACCAAATATAGCAAAATTTATGTAAATTTAAAGATTTTCATGTCAACAATGCAAATCACCCTACAATGCTTTACAACTCTCCTYCAAGTAGAGCTCCGCCTATCCTTTTAAGTGGAGTTTGTTATTTTCTGTTGTTTTTTTCTCATTTTTTCAACATCTTGATAATACCAACCTAATGGAATTTAATATTACAGGAATTTAATATTATAATAAAACACCTATGAAAATTAAATTCTTATACACAAAATAAAGTTAGCATGCCATTCAGGCTTCTGACACTACACAGGAGCACTGTTTAACATCCTCTATTTACCTTATAAATGTAAATATAAATGCATACTAAATTACTGCTTATATAAACTATGTAATATCCACTCTTATTAACTCCTTCTTAAAAGGATAATTAATTCTCAAGCATGGAAGAGAACCTAATTAAACCTGACTTTTGCATAACTTATTAGAAAGASTACTTTGTTTTCAGAGAGTGTTTCTAACATTAAGCATGTCAACCACAAGAGCTTTTAAGTGCTCAGTGTACCATGCCTACTTTACTACATGATCAGAGGTGCTTCATCAGCTCTCTGTACCCAGTAATTACAAGAAATCCTCTGCCCCCCCCCACAAAAAAAAAAAGAAAACCAAAAAAAAAAAAAAAAGAAAAAAAAATAGAAAAAATACGAAACCCAGGACTTCTCAAATTAATTGAACAGGTTCCTGCCTGTTCAGGGCCTTTCTAGAATAAAAGCTTCAAYAATGAAGTTAGCCCTCAACTGTGCATTTGCCACTTCATAGTGTGATTTGTACATGCAGTKGTGAAGAGCTGATGCTTCATAAGAYTAAAGCAGTCCAGTTGTGCCAACAGTTCAGCCTAACTTGTGATATTCAACTTTACTGGAACAGACAAAGGCAAAGCAACCTAACAGYATGTATGGCATGTACTTTTCTCTAAACAAAACTAAAGTTTGTGGAAGATTTCACAAAGTGAAAATGTAAAGGATTTACATAATGAAAAAATTAATGCTTGAAGCGTTCCAATTCTTCTACCCAGAAAAGATGAAAAGGCTGTTWTTTACTTTACAATGGCAAATACTGTATTTCTTTTTTCCTTCCTTCAGTCCAGCTTGTTGCCTTCCATCTACCTAAATCTCTCTGAGGGAAAAAGGGCACATCAGCAGAGCACTAAATTTCCCACATTCCAGCTTCCTGCCTTGTTTTATCTATCAATGATCTAAATTCTGCAGCCTTGCATCACGCCTGTAATACCAGAACCCAGTCCCCAACTGGTCCTTGGAGACTGAACAAAGCATTAAATGTTAGTCAGCAACGCTGCTTACCACATTGAAATCCAAGTTTTTTTCAACCCACTCCTTKGCTTCCTTGAACTCCTCTTTCATTTCCATGATGTACAATGTATCAAGGGCATCCACGATTGTTGCTCCTTGTATGTTACCTGAAATACACGAAGCACCAGTGATTTACTTTCCAACAGAAGACTTTTCAGTTAGATCTAATTAATTTAAATTAATTCYAATTTCAAAATCCAATTTCAATTAATGCAATTAAAAACTGGGTGCATAAGCATTCAAGTGGTAACTAGTAATTCACAGCCTTAACTTTGATTCCCATGGCACAACACAACATCATAATATTTAAGYATTTCTTCCACTAATGAACTTTTGRAGAGCTGTTCTGATGCACTGCATTTTCAGCCATGTTTGCATTTCAAAACACTGCTAGAACAGTTCACTGTAAAATGACATAAGAACCAGTAAATCTCAGGAATTGAAAGGTTATTGTGGAGAGTGGGGTTCAAGAAAACACAGTCACTTGAAATACTTTCCCATGCTTACTTCAAATTTACCTTGACCTTTTCAAAACACCATTTTTGTCTGGGAAGAGTTTCAATTCCCATTTACTGATAATGTCAAAAATTCAATTTTGACCGCTTTACTAAAATTTGTATTTCTGAACTTGGCTCCCCACATTTTTCATAATGAATGGAAAACCACTGTTATATTTTAGGGRAGACTCTGATTTTGAAGTAAACATTTAGAATTAYAAAATAATTTAGGTTKYAATCAACAGAGAAAGYCATTAGGTCCAATTCCTATCTMCCTCAGYAGGGCTAATGAGTCAGGTGAATAGCTGACTACTYATTCAGGAATTGATTGCAGGGGGAATAATGAGATAGTAGCTACAACTAATTTTAAAGAACTTAATTATCATCTTGTCTCTGAAATACCTGATGAAAAATTAAACTTAATTTTGTAAACTTATCAAATATCAGGATCAAATTTTTCATATATAAGAAAGAAAACTACTATTTCAGTCAATTCCTGTGTTCACTGCCATCACGGGTTTCTGCTTTYACATGAAACAGAGAGGTGATTGGAGAGCTCTATATAGCAGGATTGACATAATTTTCTTAATTTAACCTTCCAGGTAGAAAATAATTTTCCATTTCCACCATCTTWAACAAAATAATATTTGAGGTTATTATGGCAGTTATTCGGTTCATTTAACAGAACCAGATGCTTTCTCTATTTTAGTAGCTGCTTATAACACGCGTTTTGGAATGTCGCTTTCCTACTCTGAAGGAAGTAATCTCTGTTTTCCCCCAGATATTCCACTAATAAAACTGCAGCATACTTTGGAAAGAACAACAAAATATCCTCCCAGAGCTTATTTGGAGCTTGGCTGCCCTTCTCTAATATTAAAGGAAAAGTATTCCTTTAAACTTGGCTAAGCAACCTATATTTTTCCTGAGTTTAAGAGAAAGTAAGTGACTATGGAAAACTGCTGGAGGACATCTGCTGAAGAGCACTACTGCAAAAGTTCTGGAGATGTCTTGCAACTCCATACAACAAAAGTAGCTCCTAGTGAACCTTCACAATTGAGCTCTGCTTACAGAAAAATCATCTATAACCTGATTTGCTTCAGTGGATTGTGATAGGCTCACGGTGCAAAGACATTCTTTGTCATAATCCTCTTGTAATACAACTAACACCACCACTAAAGAGTTGAGCTTTCATTTTTAAGGATTAGTACTTGAGCTGCAATTCACTACTAAGTTAGAAGAGAAGAAAATAAGGAGAAACCTTATTGAGAAATCACCCTTGGAGTCATCTATTTACTATGATTTATTTTTCCTGAATCTGGCATATATGGCCTGATTAGAGCACAGACTTCTTCTTGCAGACAGACAGAAAAAAAAAAAAAAGAAAGCTAGAATCTCAAGTAGATCTTACTTTTTTTGAAATAACTTTTGCTATTATTCTGAAGGCTCCAGGAAACAGAATAAAACAATTAAAGTGACAATTAGTCAAGTTTGTCTCAAGCAGCTCTACTTCAAAGTTCTTGATAAAAGACAAAGGAATACTGAAAGTGTCAGTTCAGAGGCCAGAATTATGACTTGTGAACAATTGCAGTTTACATTAAGCCAGCCAACAGGATAACTTAAACTTAAGRGTGGTACGGAAATTGTGACGCTGAACAGTCCATTAGTAACCAGTCACACAAACCAGTGGTGGGGGATGAAAAGGAATGCAAAAAAATTAAATTAACATTTCTTATTATGGGATAAGACCAAATATTTCACAAGCTTATATAAGCTATGCTCCTCAAAGCACAGCACATAAATTATTAAATACAGTTATCATTCCTGTTAGTTCCTACATGACTTTTCCAAGGAATTACACAGCAGCCCTGGTCTACAGGAAGCAAAGATTATTGCCAGGCAATTCCAAGTACACACTCATGACACAGAATATTTGGCCAAGAGGACTGTTTTCCTATACACCTAYGGTACTGCTATAAATTTGACTAACAGTGAGCACCATGGTACAAAGGGTGCCAGAAAAGTTGAAGTCACCATGGTAGAGTTTCACRGTTGCCCTAGGCAGGGGGAAGATCTCACAAACAATACTTGGAGTGAATTTATACACCTCAGGTAAATACAGATATATTTTGCAGATAATAATTATATATATATATATATTATATATATACTCAAGGTAGAGAAAATGAACTTGAAACTGATAAAACCTAAGTTCAGAGGAAGTAATTTGGATGATAAAAGAGATAACCAGATGTACAAACCTGCCAAAGAGAAGAATTATTAGTCTTTACCAAAACCTCCAGATCAAATGCTCATATATGCTTTGTTTTACTTCAGTTGTTAACCCTTTACTTTTCTCTCTGCTCTTTACTAACAGCATCACCTAATCCATGGGGTTAATGCAGAACACATAAAGCAGCCTACTACTAACTGAAGAAATAATGAAAGAAATCAGTCAACATGAAATGTCCAGTTGACTACTGAGAAACATCTACAGAGCTTCCTTTCCAATTTAACACTTAAAATCTTCAGTAATGATCTGGAAGAAAATGAAAAAGAATGTATTGCTAACAAGATTTGTGGACAATGAACCATGATGRCTTAACACCCAGCATTTCAGAACAGTAYGATATAAACCTGGTAGCCTATATCTCCTCTGGGTAATGCACATCTAAACTGCATGCCCTTTAATATCTAACCATGCCAATGTATGTGCACGCAAACTRAAAAAAAAAAAAAAAAGAAATTACAATAATTACAATAGGGAATGGAGCATCTCGGGGCTGGGCAGCAGGAGCAGAACAAAGAGAGTGATCAGAGAATGAATAACTTTGTATGAGTTTCCAGGAGGGAAACTGCAGGGAGAACTGCTCTGGATGTGARTGACAACCTTATTAGCACAGCTCTGTGACTGAGCTTATATGGCCATATGGTTTAAGAACCACAACTGGCTTATGGCCAAACCCTTCGGGGCGTGTGCCAAAGTAAATTCTCACTTGTCTAGCCCAGGCTTTTAGACATGGCTTATATGTTGGCCAGAAGAGTCTGAAATAGAATAGTTCAGAATCAATACATGTTCGTGCACTCAATAGTTCACAATTTCCCCCCATCYCCTGTATACCAAGCTTGGCATTAAAAAATACATATAGGTCTGACTAAAGTAACATTTTGATTTGAKCTTGGAGCATTGTAGCAAAAGCTGACTCATATCTTAGAACAGTGTTTTCCTTTATTTAAAGTTCACTGAAAAGGTTCCTATCCAATATCATTAGCAATTTAAAGTGTCAAGAGTGATTAATTATTAAAGTGTGCTATGCCAAAACATGAAACTCTTGACTCAAGTACTGGCAAACCCTCAGCAATACTAACACTTTTAATTTCAGTGACTATTACCGCTGGAGAGTGGGGAAAGAAAAATTCATTCAATTTTTAACAAAGCCAGCTTTTCATATGTGTAACACGAAACAATATCGTGATATTTCTAGAATGCTCTTCTGCATCTCCAGTATTTTATACATCTGTGCATTTTAGAGCCAGCTCTGGTGTCTTTGTATTTGATAAAGCTCAAATAATTTTTCCTTCATTGCTTATCTCTGTGCTTCCTGTGGAAGCCTTTGGCACCCACCACACTTCTGGCACCCATGCARCTCTGCTACATGTTTTGTTATGAACCACCTTCCTTTGTTTGAACATGCTGCCCAGTAATCCRCTATCTCCACCCAATTCCTTACAAAGGATATCACTCCCCACAAGGAACAATAAATCCTTGTTCATCCCATCTATGACCCTTTTTATGCAGCTCCATATATTGTTCTGGGAAACTGCCAACCTTTAGTACTCACTGAGAGCTCAAGTCTGCCCGTTCTGTGTATTAACTCAGAATTATACCTCCTGTTTCACTAAGTGCCAGTTTAAATTAGGAACATTTGCTCTTTCTAAGTACARTTATCACCTGTCAGGGAATACTTCTGGGTTTGTGGAACTGTTTGCAGTTTGCCAGTGTTGAAGCTACCTCAAGTAACTTCTTTRCACTGCCAAACTTCACTCTGGTTATTTGACTTTTCAGCATTGGGATGAGTAATTTGAGAGCGTGACCCCAGATGCAACGGATTCCTGTCAGAGGCCAGTAATAAACCTGGAAACTTATTTTTTTGAAATCTGTAATGACAGTACACTTTTTTTTTTTTKTTTTGCAACACAACTTCCTCTCACAAGTACTGTATTGATTCATTCATCCATATATTTGCTAACATTACTCTTTACACAAGTTAATTTAGTTGAGACAGATGTCAGGCTTACTTCCAAAATTAAAACCATATACCAAAATACAAAATTTCAAAGAATACAGCAGGAACAGTGAAGACCAACAAGTGAAAAYGAGACTGGAGTGGGGGGAATCCATTCAATTTAAACGAATACATTGTTTAAATASATGCACAATTAATTGTCTAAGTTATATTAATAAACTTAAGAGTTTAAAAATACACATTGCTATACACTGCCAAGACACTTTTGAATATAAATTTTGGCAGGCTTAAGAAAAATATTCACAAACCTCAATGCCCCATAAAAGAGATGACAAAAAACAGTTCCAAATGGGAGGAGCAGGATCTGACTAAATTACAGTACTTGGGGTTTGCAGATTGTGAGTATTTATTAAATGCCTCCCTTTTCGCTTCCAGAAAGGTCCTTTTTCACTTGCAGAGATTAATTATACTATGCCCACAAGTTACAATATKAAAGTGGCAATATTGCACATGAAACATCGTTTCAGATAATTTAAAAAGCCCATCCATTACAGTCACTTCAGTACACAAAACACCYCTAGAAAGAGTTCTCTGCCATTGCAGCAACTCTCATTAGTTTTAAAATTAGTATAGAAGGCTTAGAGAGGAATAGCTTGTGGGTTCAGGGGTCGGTGGTGAAATGCTATGAAAAAATTGGCAAAATTGTGATTTTCCCACTTCCACAACAGCAAGGTCGATTAGCAAATGTCTAGCAAGCATTGTTAATAGTATCATGAAACATTAAGGTCAAAGTTTTAAAAACTAACAGCACTTTTTCAGGGCCCACTTTCTGCTAGGAATAGTCAGAGAACAGTTAGTACTGATGRCAGAAGTCATACCAGAAGATATGCCCTGTTTTGCTGAAGCTCAGTGATGGTGCTAACACGTGCTGAACTATTACAATTTCTTTGATTAGTTTAGAAACAGTTGTTTAACTTTTAATGGAATTAAACTAAAAAGAATGTTTTTGTCTTTTAAAATAGTTGCTACAACTATTTGAAAAGRCATGGTGAAGTCTAATGTGGCAAATATAAAGGAAATAAAAAGACATTGCAATGGTCAGAGGCACGTTTGTGGCACCAGCTTCAAAAAAAAGTGTTTCAGTTTACATATGTTTCAGTGTTTCTCTAAAAGTGTATTATTCTTGGTGTGCACATGTGAGAGAAAGCAAATTCTGCTAAGAAAATGAGAAGACTCTCTGTGTCTCTCTCCAGTCTAAAGACTTCCTCTATTTATCAAATACACCCTTCCACACACAGAACACCACCAAGATCAAGGCAGTACCACTGTTTTCACAATTTGTTTTCATGTCCTGAGTTTAGAACAAAAAAAATAGTAATTTCCAAGTTCAGCAAGAAGGCCTCAGCTACAGAATAGCTCTACTACTATTAATTTGTGAAAGGTGCTAAAAGCAGGGCTCTTTTCCTTCCCCCCAAATTAGAACCACCAGTTGTCCCTATCCTTTCTCCCACTGACACCTCACTGGCCATTTTCCTCTTCCTCTACACTAGGTACAGTGCCAGTATTTCATGATGATATTTCCTAACCCACATCTATGTGTTATTACACCTCTCAAAAGCCATCGTATTTTTGTACTTCTGAGAAACAAATCATGACAGTCATGACTTGCCTTCAAGACACAACAGCCATTAYAATCTATCTACAAAATGGAGATAGAAAGGAGCCATCCATGCATTTATTCTTTCAAAAATAAGCTCAGAAGCAGTATTATTTGAAAACAACTCCCCTCTTCTGTGTSAGGAGAGCTGTACTGTAACTTACACAACATAAAGCACCACACRGCACTGGAATCTGCTATTCCTCACTTTATCCCATAACAGGCACTCCCAATGTACGCAAAGCAACATAAATGCAGCAATTAATTCAAAGAAGAAGTATTTTAAACAAAACCGTGCCTAATGAAATGTGTTGTATTTTACTAAGACAATCCAAAAATTGCATTTTTGAAAAACTGAGATCTGACAGCAAGAAGAAAAGATGGTCTTGGCAAATTGGATGGATGATAGTGAACTGAAGTTCTTGCTTCATTTCTGAAGGCTGGGAGGAAATTCACAGGACACAGAGCTGAAGGTAACCTATTCTCAACTAATTAAATTCAGAATTACCTTAAAGTAGTCAACCATTTGCAACCTTTTTTCCTTTTTTTTTTTTCTAATAAGAAACAGAAATAAGGAAGAYAAGGAAATTTGTCTGTCCTTTCTTGAAGAAAGAAAACCCAACACGCAAACAACAGATCACCCCTTTTTGCTTTCATTTTTTTATGAAAAAARCAGCATTTGTTGAATTCAAACATTAAAGTACAGATCAGATCTAMTTATCTGAGGACACTTACAGAAACAAGGTTTTGTTTGTAAAGAACAAAAGGAAATTATGGATTCGGGAAAGGCTAACTTATGAGACAGGCTTGCTTGCAGATATGCTGCTCTTTGTTATTCTGCAAAGCAATTCAGCAGAAAGAGACCTAATGTTTATTTTGATTTGCCACCAAGATCAATAAGATTGAAGATGTTTCTAAAGGAAAACTCCTCAGCAATAAGATCTTATACTAGATGACCACGGTGAGAAACTGATCTCTATTTAGACTGACTCTGGCTCTTACTCCTGTAAATGCAGATTCATTTTTCAATTCAACGCCTGTCCTGTTTCACATACAATTGTGCCTGAAGTGACTTAGACTTATGCAACATCCACAGAGCTCCTGCTTAAGAATTTCACAAGTCAATACATMTTTTTCTGTGAATCCATGTAACATAATTATGAACTCACACCTTGGAAAATTTTTACACCACTTCTGATTTCAAATGAAATTACATAAAGTGTTTTAATTTTCAAGAAATTATGTGTCTTTTTGTTATACTGCCAGAAAATTCCATTAAATAGTTCCTCAARTATATGAAATTGCACAACTGAAGCTAATAAATAGTTTAATTTTAAGAGAACAGAAGGAAACAGAAACATGACTTAACCTCAAAGTTAACTAAAACTATAGCTTGCCTTCAAGAACTCAAAATACAATAACTACACTAGATAATWATTAATTATTAACATTTTTGATGTTACCTCGGGGTAGACAAGCAGTGTAGCAAGATCAATGTAGATGTTGTACTTTCCAAATTATTTTTGTAATCACAACTGCTGTCTCTAAGCAACCTCCAAATATAGCTGGGGATTTGATAAGTGCTTTATTTAGTCTGTTTTAGGAAATGTTTCCACTTCAAGCTATCTTTTGCAAACATTCAACAAAGTAAGTTCCTGTTAAAATCAAAATAATGTATTGATTTTTGTCTCAGCTATAGAAATTAGTCAATTTTTTCAGCTGTTTGGAAAACAAGCTAGTCAAATAGAAAAATTGATGTCAAACAGTTTAATTCTTCGTTTTTCTGCAAAACTGAAGATAATGACAGTTCATGGGCCTGCTTTATTTTGCTTCCTCAGAATGCTGTTTCTCTTCAGSTACTATTTATCCAGCTATGTGTCCCACTAGGACCCTGAAAGAGCCTTGCCTCATTACACTGGATTTCTACAGTGCCTCTCCTACTGGAACTTTTCATCCCATATTTGTTCTACACTGATAACAACTTGGGCTTTATTTAGCATCTCCTCTACAACACTTAGASGTGCAAACAGGAGTTATATTAAGGAAAGGGAAAGCCTGATAATGGAGTCTGATACAGATTAACAAACATTTATAAGAGATGGAAATAAATTCCTAAGAACTGSACACAGCTTCAGCTACCTTTGTGGCTGTAGAGAGTATTGTTTGTTCCTTGTATAGGATTTATGTTCTTCCCCACCCCCTCCCCCTCTGTTCCYTGGTTATTGAATGTGGGATCAATGATTTCCATAGTAAAAGCTTAAGACAGGACAGTATTTAACAAAACAAAACTATATTTTTATCATGCAGCARTGCCATGCTCCATTTATTCTCCTTCAGACACTAATCTATAAAAGTCACAGAAAGCACCTTCATTTACTGTTACTTTTTATACATCACAGAAGCAAGAAACAWCACGCTGAATGACAGAGAGCAGAAAGAAAACATGTTTATCACCTATAAGCTTTTCAGCTGATTTACTGTTTTATGCTAACGTCACTAAGCACAAAAATACACTCTACTCACCAAATAAATTGCTTGAATGTCCTTGCTTGGATATGGGTTTCAGTTCATTTAATCCCCACGCGTAACGCTTATAATTATCCCAGGCATGCTTCATCATCTGTAGGGAAACGAAAGCAGGATTATAATGTTGATTTAGCAAGAAGCCACAGCAAATACCAACTTGAGAATATTCTCCACATTAAACACATTTAATTCAATTCTTAACCAAATTCCTGTTGTATGCGTTAAAACTATGAAATATTCAATAAAGAAGAACATGGCACKATTAGAATTACATGACTTCTACTCTTATCTGCAAACTTATCCTCAAGACACACTCAAAAATAGTTAATTTTTAGGAAGAGAATCCATTGTGTCATATATCAATTCAATTAAGATTTTATTTCCCTTAAGCATATACCTCTGAAAATGAGGGAGGTAACATTTTTAAGATGATTTTTCTCYTAGAATAGGATTCTTTAAGGTTAAAATAAAGCTCACAGTAGTTTTCAGATTCTGACAGAGACTTGCTTGCATAAAACTAGCTGGTTCAAACTCAGCAAAGCTAGTTACAGTAAAAGGATGATTAAGTGAGCAGGCAGAACACCTAGAAAATGTTTTGAGGTTTTTATGATGCAATCCCTTATTGTATATATATGTATGTGTATAAATATGTATATGTATATGTATAAATCCATCTGTAGCTACTTTCACATGTCATTTTTTGCACAAAGGGATGAAAACATTTACGACTAAACATACCACTACAAAAGCATGTTTTGCACAAAAAGAGGGGCACCACAGATAATTCTGCTTTGGGAAACTGCCTTGCAGAGCGCAGCACAGCAGAGCTGTGGTAAGAGCAGGGGCATCCACACCAGAAACCAGGGGAATGGGTTGACTTAGGAACAGCTCACACTCTCCACYGCCACTAACAGACACATCCAGTCCAAAATGTCCTTTTTCAGGTGGACCAAGTGCACAGCCAGGAGCCCCCCTGTCCCTGCCCAAACACACAGTGAGATCAATGCCCACAGCTCTCCAGTCTTGGTGATGAATCGCTGCCACTCCAGCAGGTCCAACACCTCCCTTTACCAAACCACCTCTGTCAACACCTGCTCAGAAAGAGTCTYCTTTAAAAGCCACCACAAACAGCACGACTTTACATAACAGAAAGGAAGATTTTGCCTCCTTGCTGTCCCTCCTCCCCTCTTGCACAAGGCTAGGAATGCCAGAGGTCATCTTCTAGACCAAAAGTGACAATTTCAGACCTTTTCAAAGATACTGCTTCAGGCTGTCAGATGACAACACTGCTCTGCCCTTGCTTTCAGACCTCTTCTTGAGGCCATGTGTGTCAAGGATAATTCTGTTAAATAACAGTTATAATCCTAAATTTAAAAGCAGCAGCCTTGGGACATGCTGATAATAGTAATCCTGCACTTTCTCCCTTCGTCTTCCCTTTGCTCAAACCACAGAGAAATGATGTCAATTAAAAATCTGCATTAAGCCATACTATAATAAATGACAACCGATTTTCTAGGCTACTGCTATGCTTGTGAGAATAAACATTTCTCYGCTATTAATGGGAGAAAAAATGCTGCAGGAAAATTCATGGATGTTAATCTGCACTACAGGTTCAGCTTTACAAATACAAAAATTGGCAACTGCAGTTAATACGTGAGCATTTTCAACCAGAAGATTATTAGCCTGGTGTCAGATCTCAGCTGAAAGGCAGCAAGTAAGAGGCCCTGTGGAAATGGTCTCAGGTCACAGATGGCAGTGATACACCGGATGGCAGGAGCTGTGTCCATTCCTTGACTTCATTGCAGAATGGYTTAGGAGCTCTCCCAGGATGGGGCTTTTTGTCCCAAAGCACAGCTGGTAATGGGCAGCCAACTGGCAGACTTTATGACTATGGAACATTCCCAATGCCTGGCTACAAGGATCAACACTACATGAAGCCAATCATTTGTCCACAGTATGTTTTCTAATTTACCAATTGAAAATTTCTAGTGATTTTGTCCATTATACAAGAAAGACTTATTCTGCCCTGCCATCATATCCCAGACCTGAAGCTCAGCTTTAGATATTGACGTACGAATTCTCAGAGATTTCAGGAGACTAAATCCTATGCTTTGTCAAAGCTTATTTTCTCATGCAATCACATCAGAATCTTTTCATTTGCTTAATCTTAATCAGGGAACACCACACAAAAGGGCTCTTTTTTTCTTCTTATAAAGTAAACTTGCAATTAAGTGGCCTGAATCAAAGGGCCTAAAGATGCCGTATTATAAGAACATTAAAATTGTTCTAGCCAGTACTAACATTGTCCTTCCCTTTTTCCATCCTTTTTCTCCTAGCACATCCATGCTCCTTCTCTTGCATAAGAGATGCAGCATTCATCTATTCCCAAACCAAGTCAGTTCAGGAAACAGAAACCCCTGCAAGTGAAATTTTTGTTTTGAGGATCATTTTTGTCTTGTCTGATTCCCCAGCTCAGACCATCATGAGTATCAGAGTTAACGAGAGGGAAAGGCAGGAACGGCTCCAGAGCAGTTCAGTGCAGCCACAACAGCCACAAAGCGCACGATGCCACAAGATGTTCTAGATGTGATAACTTGCCTTTAGTTTTTCCCCATAGAYTGACACTTCAATCATATTGTATCAAAAATGTATGTCTGATTTGGTAGCAGCAACCACTCTGATTACCCTACTGCTCATTAACCCCTAGCTAGTAAGACAGGAAGGTAACCCAAACAGTAGGCAYTACCTTCAAATAATACTTATTACTGTGTGCTAATGAACAACAAATGGGTTGTTGGGGTTTTTTTTTAACAAAACGTCCTCCCATTCTTCTAACTAGTCAGATATATTGGTCTAATTGCTTCACAGGAAATTACAATATATGGAACCAAAAAGCCAAGCAGACAGAAAAGAAAAATCCCACAGTAATTTGAAAAAGCAAAAAAAACCAACAAAACCCCACAAACAATAGCCAAACAARCACCCCTTGCTCTAAACTTCAGGAAATATTTCAGCTGGAAAAGCCCTACAAGAATTTACTTAGCAGGAGATCAAATTCGTCATTGATTTGGCTGATCAAAGTGTTCTTTAGAACTCATCCAAAAAGCCTAGATTTAGACAAAACCGCTGAGGTTAGTGAGTCAATTTACTCCCAAGAAAATGCACCTTTAGGACATCCTTGCTTTAGGCACTGGGGGATTTATTGGGAGATTGAAAGCAAAAGGMAGCTCCAAAAGCAGTCGGTGAGCCCTCTAGTGTTTCAAAAGAAATGAGTCATTCCAACTAGACACAAACATAAATGGCTATTTGGAAAAAAGGTTACTAGCACTTCGGGTTACTGGGCAAAGAGCCCCTAGATACAGGAGCCAAAGAACCCTACGTTAATCAACATAGCCTTGGTATTCAAGTGAGTTTCGGCATCTAACCTTTGAAGAAGTCTCAATTTCTACGATTCAATACATCAGAAATACTCTACATTTTTCCCCCCTGTGGAAATTACAAAACCATACTAAGTATACAACTACATTAACTTCCTATTTGTTAATGGCTTAATTTTCTACATAAGAATGAAAAGACTCTAAAGTATTGAGGAGCAATTAATAGACTAGRTCACAGGTAATTCTTTGCTTAGGCAAAACATCTAGCACTGGTACTTTGGGAATGAATTTTAGCTTTTTTTTTTTTTGAGAAATCCATCTATCTTTGCAGTTTTCACCTTTTTGTTTGCATGGGATACCCCCAAACCATTAAATCCTTATTATATTTTGGTAATTCACAAAGGGTCTTTTGATCAGGTCTCYGACTACTTGTACAAGTGCTGTTAATCACTTGAAATTTCTAAAGATCACAGATACCGAGAACATCTGTGTATCAACACAACATTTCTGATGCTCTTAAAAAGAGAAATTCCCWATGAGGGAGAGTCTGAAATCTTTTGATTAGATGATTCCAAATACTCTCAAACTCCTCTACACTATAAATAATAAAATTATTTCAAAAAATCCATATTAATCTTCCAGGATGTTAATAGGCAGAGTTACATTTGCATAGAGATATCCCTCGCTTTTTTTTAGTTTTACTGAGGTATGTTAAAAAAAATCACAGAATGATTGGGATTGGAGAGGAGAGATGATCTGGAGATCAAGCACTTCCAGCCCCTATGCTAAAGCAGGTTCAMCCACAGCAGGTTGTACAGGATTTGGTCCMRKCAGGTTTTGAATATCTCTAGAGAAGGAAARTCCACAACGAGCAGCTTGTTCAGTGCTCTGACACACTCACAAGACAGATGTTTTTCTTCACATTCAGATGGAACTTTCTTGTTTCAGTTTGTGCCCATGGCCACCAATCTTGTTGCTGGGCACCACTGAARAGTCCRGCCCCATCTTAAGGGCTTAAGATATTTTTATGCATTGATAAAATCCATMTCTGATCTCAGTCATCTCTTTTTCAGGTTAAACAGGCTCAGCTATCTCAGCCTCTCCTCATAACAGAGAGATGCTCCAGTCCCATGATCATCTCCATAGCCCTTTCCTAGGTACCCTCCAGTAACTCTTTGTCTTTCCTGAACTGGGGAACCCAGAACTGGRCACTGTYCATTGAATCTCAAATTCTAGAAGAGCCTGACAGCTCCTTGTGAAGCCCTGTGCCTACATTTGCAAAGTCTATTGGTGATGGAGTCCCACCTCAGGTCCCTCACAGTCACAGGAACAGCTGAAGGATTGAGCAGCTAGCATTGTTTCACTAGCAACCTTGCTGCTTTTCCATCTTCAGAAAAAAAAAATAGGGCATGGATTTTTACTTATAAAGTCAMAAAATGCCAAAACACGACCCCACCTCTCTTGGAGAATAATGAAGTGTACTATTGTAATTGCYCTCAGCAAAACCACTCAGAAGAAAAAGACAAACATCTGACATTACGAAGAAAATGACATTTTTGTGTATTTCTTTGACTCTAAAGGAAGCATTAAAAAAAATAATTTTAAAACCCTTCTTAACCCACTGAAATAAGTTTTAAAAAAAAAGTAAAATACAAACCCCAGCAWTTCCTTCTGTGAAAGCAGAAACAAAGACCTTTCCTACAGCCATAATACTGGC